GTTTAACGAAGGAAATGTCATGCTAAAATTATGAAAAATGAAACAAAAATGAAAATGAAGAGATAAAGATGGTCATCTTGGGGACCAAAATATAAACGTTTCAAAAGTACCTGGACTAAAACGAAACAAAAGTTAAAAGTATTAAAACTAAAATTTTACCAAAGTCGAAATTATAAGACCAAAATAATAATACCTATATTACAAACATTAATAAAATCAACTTACATATTCTTCTTATAGTATGAAAAAAGAAAGATTTAAGATTGGTATAAATGAGAAGCCTATTTTGCATTTAGTCCAACTATATAATCAATAGTACCAACTAAATTATAGAAGATAATGCATTAAACTTATAAATTTGTCTTTTCATAATTTAGTTTAGTACTTTTCTTAGTTCTAGGATTTGATGTGGAAAAGGTGTGATAAAAAGGAAAAAGAAAAGTAGAAAAATGAAAGAAATTGGTTTTGAGAAATTACATATTTAGTTTTCTTGCCCTTACTTTTTGAATAGTGGAAACCACTGATTATCCATTCAAAAGATTGATGATGATGCCAAGGGGAGCCCAAAGTTAACTTTCAAAAAATAAAAATAAAAAATGAAAAGTCAATATTGGAATCTTCAAGTACCACAACTTGGCATTAGGAAGATTCAGACTTATTTCTTGAAAGCAATCTATGATTAAGTGAATAGTCTCTCTCCATTTCATCTTTTAAATCTGATTTAAAGAAAGCAAAGTTCAATTTTCCTTCTTGGAAATAATTTGACAAAATTTCAACATCCATCTATCTATATGTGAATTTTGATTCAAAGTGAGACTTACGTGTCTCATGTCTACTTAAAGATGTCGGTATTTTTATTTTGAAAGAATTTCACCCCTTTATTATCATCCTACGTCATGAAGACTTGGACGGATGCTCGTTGGACTCACCTAAATAGTCTAACAACTTGTGTGGATGCTCGCTGGACTCACCCAAATAGTCTAACAACTTGGGTGTTTTTGTCGATTGTCAAACGGTATCTTTTATTGTAGCCAATATATTATTGTCAAAAGGTTGCAACTATAAATCTCACATCAATTAAGAGTGGTCAATGTGTTTGTAAATTATCTTATAATGTGATATGTGGTTGAGCTTTTATCAGCAGTGTGTTTTAGATCAGATTATAACGAATGAACAGATCATGAATGACTATTTAAAAGGTGATTTGGTTGTTGTTTGTTTGACATAATGGTAGTTCGGATATGATAAAAAATATTGCATTATATTATTATTATTGGAGTTCAACAAAGGTGGGAGGATTCAAACATTTAATCTTAAAATAGATGACAAATAATACCTTAATCAGTTGAGTTAGATTGAGATTTCGTATAAAGATCTCAAATTGACAAAAAAATTGAAGATAAAATTAGAAGCATTTTAGCCTCTAATATTTAATTTCTACCATATTTTTTTTATTATTTATTGAGAGATTTTGTTTCAACTTTTGCCATTATCGAAAATTACAGTAAATATTAGGATATGCTTGAAAGTAATTTTTGGCATGAACAAAAATTATTTTTATTTAAAATAATAGTATTTTATAACGATTATAGAAAATGAAAAAAGTAATGTCATTGAAAAAGTTACTCTCAACCATAACTCTCTCACTTATTGTACTGAACAGTGAACACTACTGTTTGACTGGTAGATAAAATATTTCTTATTTATTTATTTTTTTTTAAAAAATTATTGTGAAAAGTTGACTCACAAGTCACAAGTAATAACAATTTCTCATTATTGAAGAATATTAAAGTATTTTCCAATTGTTTAAGCTATTTGAATAAGGATCACATAAAATCAAATCTCCTACATTAAAAAATATTTATTTTATTCAAATACATTAATTTAATTAATATGATAACACACAAGTATTGTTTGAAAGACCAATAAATGTTAACATATGATTCAAAAGAGATAAAAATAATGAAAATTTGTGACATTATTATCCGTGAGAAGTGAGAAATTTTGAATAAGTAAAAGAGAAACATGCATAATTGAGTCACTCATAATTAAAAAAAAAAAAAAACTCATCAGGATCATAAGAAAACAAAGGGCTATGTTTCATCCTTTTTTCTTGAATAACAATCCAAACCCTAATCCCCATTTTTTTTTTTTTTTGCAATATTCATCTAACCCTTTGACTTGATTTGGGGATATGGGGTCAAATTGTCCAAACCCTAATTTTAGAACACTCATTTCCCCACATGCCCTTTTCACATATATAGAATTTTGGTTTTCAAAGGAATGGGATTGATGGTGCCCTAATTATCCCTTCTTCCAAAACCCTAAAATTTTCAAGATTGGATTTTGATGTGGTTTTTCAATGATTAATTAAGTGCTCATAAATATGGGATATGGGTTTTGGTAGCTAGACATATTTTATGGTACAATAAATAATAAATAAAATGTGTTTTTTAAAAAGTGTTGCAAATATATAGACACAACATTCAAGAGTTTTTTTTTTTTCATCCTATTATATTGATATAAGTTATGAGGTGATGAATTCAACCATCGATCTTTGAGATGGTAATAAGTATCTTATCAATTGAGATACGTTCAGATTGATCTCTCGCTTATATTACTATCTAAAAGAATATGAAAAATATCATGAACACTAGTGTTGTGTTGTTTCTTTTATTCCTTTAATTAGTTCAACAATGCTAGGGTAAAGAATCGGACTATCGACCGAATAATAAGTTAATGCCTTTTAGTGCTTATCAAATTGGTTTATGAAGAGCCAAAACGAAGCTCATCAAACAATCATATTTATTACCATCTCAAAAGTCGACAGTTTGATTTCTGATCCTATTCTATAATCGTAGAACTAAAAGGAAAGGAAAAAAAACCGCCTATCAAAAAGTGTCTTTATCATGGAAATTAATTATGCCTAATCATCCACTTTAATTTTGAGATTGTCCCATATGTTTTTCCAATTATAATTAAATTGGGAAATCCTTACCCATACTAGAAGCTAGACATTGGACCATATATCTAAAGAGAAAATTGTCATCCTTATATAGAGACATACATTTAAGGGTATTACCATCCAAACAATGAGACGTGGATTCGGAAAATATGACTTACATGTGAGATTACTAATACTCCAATCCACATAAACGATATTTAAGTCGATCGATTCTTTTACATCGAAACAATTCTCTCGCTTATATTAATATATAAGGGTGCGTTTGGTTGATAATCAGAAAACAAAACATAGTTGCATTCTTTGTTTTTCAGTGTTTTACATATGTGTTTGGTAGCAGATTTGATAATTGAATCTCAATTTAAAAAATTGTTTTAATAATATATTTGTAAACCAGGAGTAGTTACAAAACTAAATATTTAGTTTAATCTAAACTTATATTAATTAATTTATTAATATTTTTTTTATAAATTTTGTATAGTTATTATTTTACAATATTATATAATTTAAAATACATTAAATTTTACGTGTTTTAATTTTAACAAACATAAAATGAGTTTATAATATGAATAATATATTTATCAAATTTTTATCTTTTTGTAATTCTGCATCTTAAAAATTTTAAATTCTGAATCTGAAAACACTCAAAACATAATAAAGTTATTTTTTTTCCTTCATAATTTCTACTTTTTGGATTACATAATCCAAAAGCAATTTTAAAAAACGAATCTCTAGTCAATCTGTGCGCCATTTGTCTTTTTTCCCTATCTCTTGTAATCGCTCTTCTGTCAATTGGAAAATTTCTTAATCGCGAGTTATCTGTTCAACTCGATGGATGTCTCCTGTCATAATTAGTATGGGTATTCTTGCCTGGTCAACAAGTCAATTCGTCGGTCTAGGCCTTGGTCTCGGTTGGCAAGCAGTTATATGAAATTAGTTCCCCTTTTTTACCTAATGGGATTATTTTATGAGTCTCAGTACTTGAGCCTTGAAAAACCAGAATTCGAGCTTCCAACCAAACCGATCCTAATTATTTCGAGTTAAACAATGGTAAGAAGATAGTATTGATTGAATTAAGATTGACCTTCCATTCATATTCCTATCCAAAAAATTAGAAAATAGTATGAATACTATCTTTTAATTCTACACTAACAAATCATTAACCTTTTAAATGATAATATGTAAATTTATCCATCCAACTACTTTATCTATTAAACTAAGCTCGGATTAATACACGATCATCCAATTCAAGATTGTCCCTTCCGTACCCAAAACCCCCAATTAAAATAAAATCTAGTTGCTCCATCCAATGGCCCCAATCACCAACCCTCACGATTTCATCTTCAAATGGGCCACCCCCAAAATCCATGATGATCATTGCTCATTACTGTTTCTGATCCAAGCTCTCACTCATTCCCATGTCTTTTTTCAACCCAATTTCTTATTCTATTTGCATGGCTATGGTTCTCCCCTGTCATCATCGTCTCCCCAGACTTTTCAATTAAATACACAAAACCGAAGAAAGTTTCGGGTCCTCTCAGTCACATGTAGTGCGAGTGTGGGCCTCCTCCTTCTCTATTTGCTATTGAAGTTCTTGGTTGGCCTACAAATCGGCCAAACTATTTGATTAAAATAAACGATTCAGTGAGGCGGGCAGTGAATTTAGTTTGGGAGTTTCGGATTTTTGCTGTATGAGGAAATTAACGTCGGCCTCCATGTTGCCAATCGGGTCTACAGCTGTAATTGTGTGTTTAATGTTGTTTTTATATATTTGAACTAATTGCTTCTCTTTTGACTTGATTTTTATATGTTTTTGATGTCAACTCAACTCTCAAGCCTCATTTTGTTCATATGTTTGTTTTTATGTCACAGCCAACTTTGCCAGCTGATGGGTATGCAAATTTATTATTCTTTATATTGTAATTGTCAAGTCTTAATCTATCTTTGCTTCTGTCATTTTGGGTTAATGTGGTCTGATCTACATTCGTGTTTGGTTTGTGGTGGGGTAAGTCTGATATTGTTGGGTTTACATCATATGGAACTTTAGATTTGAGAAAAGAAAGAGAAGGAAAATGGTGGGGGGAGGGAAGGAATTGGTTTACAGAGAAATCCCAGCTCAGTTTTCTTGATTCTTCTTTTTGTTTTTGGATGGGGTAGTTTGATTTGAAAGTGGGTAATTTTCTTTTTTCGTGTTTTGCAGAACTATTTTTGTCTTTGTTTGGACAGTGACTTTGCTGAATGAAGTTTTGAAATATTTTGGGTACAGAAAAGAAAAATAAAGAAAATAGAAACCCTGTTCAACTTTCTTCATCATTAAGTGGGTTGATTTGTCTTTTTGTGATTTCAACAGTTTCATTTGGATCTGATTACCTTCTTTACTTGGTTTTCCAATTTTGGACAGAGAAAAGCCTTTGTCTTTGTTGAGACAGTGGTTTATCTTACCTGTAGCATGAATTACTTTAAGTGCTCTGCAAATTTCTTTTCATGAAAAAGATTTTATTTTAATTAAATGAATCTCGCTTTCAGTTTGTTTGCTTTTCCAATAAAACTATGTTTTTCTTAATACATAAAATATATTGGACAATATGGACGTGTGGGGAAGGACCATTGATCATAATTCGTCTCTGTACAAGTTGGGTTTGTGGGTGGCTTCTACGCATTCTGTCCTTTCCTGTTTGGTCCCAATTTGGCCCTTCCATATAAATGGCGTCATACAAGTCTACCATAAACCTGGTTTTGTAGTTGTCCTGACTTCTGACAAGCCACAACATTAAACTATCAATCTCCCAGAAATTGACATTGAATTTCTGTTGCTGCTTCAGTTCTAAGCATTTCACCTCCGGGAATCTGAGAATCAATCTTCTGCTGACAAGTTTCGGACAAAGGCTATGCGGGCAAGGAGAGGAAAACGCTCTGAGGTATGCTTTGATGAACTCTGATACTGTCCTTTTCGAACAGTTTGTACTGATCTTAATTTTCATCTTGAAATTCTTTCCAGGCCTTTTGGCCTTCCATTGTGATGAAGAAATGGTTAAATATCAAGCCCAAGGTGTATGATTTTAGTGAGGATGAAGTTGATACTGAAACTGAGAGTGAAGATGATGGTATGTGTCTCAGGCGCAGCCTGGCAAACAGTAGCATGCCTTTGTTGTCACCAAAATTGTCCATTTCTCATTTTTGTTTTCTTGAATTTTACCCTTTTTACAATTTTGTTCCAGCTTGCTCTCTCAAGGATGAAAGAACACATAATCACGAGGATCGTGCTCGTAGGGCACAGAGGAACTTATCTACATGTTCAAGTCGAATTTCAGGTAATAGCTCCATAGCAGTATTATGATGTTTTTAGGATTAACCCACTTCCTCTTCTATAAGTTCAGTATTTGAAATTTTGAAAATATCTTATCTCATCGCTATTAAAACCATGGCTTCGAACTCACCTGATATTTTTCAACCACTGGGTGGGATCATGTTCTAGTTAAGCTGGATTTGGGCAAAAATTTTCTGAACTCCTGACTGAGGATCTAATATAGGCAATGCTCATTCTGTTCTTTTGTACCCTCTAGTTTTACATATTGAATGCTAAGTATGGGCTTAAACTTTAAGCTTCCTAACATGCTTTGAACAGATTATGGCATAAAAGGAGAAATATCTTCATACAAACAAGGATCTTTCCGGGATTTGTTTCAAACCTGCATTACTATCTCAAGATTGCTATATCTGTTGAACTATGTCTGGATTGCGGCTGATTAAATATTAATGATTCTCATTTTAATGATCCAGACGTTCCTCGTAGTTACCAGTCGAGACACAGACGGGGCAAATCAGAAACTCTTCGAGTTCAGTACATAAATACAAAGGATCTGAGGTTTGGCCGTAAACTACCTCTATTCGAATCCTGATGTCAGATATTCTACTTTGGTTCCCACTGATTTTTGGGAATATGGTTTTCTGTAGGGTAACGATAGCAACGTGGAATGTTGCTGGAAGAGTTCCAGATGAAGATCTTGAGATAGATGATTGGCTTTGTACAGAAGAACCTGGAGATATTTATATTATAGGGTGAGAGAAGATCCTCATTCTCTCATAGTTCCAATAGTTCATATCATTTGAGTGAATTATGAATATGCTCTGCTGCCGCTGGAAATCTTTTGTGTGTATGCATATATATAGTCTTGGTTTTGCTTAAGATTATCCAAGTTGCTTCATGTCTATATTTATATGTTATATCGTTAGATGATATCTAGAAGATGAGGATTTAATACATCCAAGCACAGGAACTTCTACATAATATTTCATTTGATTGTTCTCTTTTAATGAAAAATACATTTGAAATAAAAAGCAAAATGTAATTTTAGGTGCAGGGTACTTTTAGGTATTGACATGTGAGTGTTTTGCAGGTTAATTTGATGCAAATGTATGAGGTTTACTGATGAACTTTTTTGTTGGACCTACTTGTAAAAGATTGTAGAACAAGGACTAGTAGGTTAGTTTTGAAAAAAGTATAAAGTAATGAAAGATTAGGGAACTCTTCTAATGGCGTAAAAATGTGCCAGACCCTGCCAAACTCCATCAATTCTTAGGTCCGGTCCCTTTTCTTTCTTATCGTCATCCATTTCGACACTGATAAAATCTTGCCATACTTAATGCTTGCAGTTTCCAAGAAGTCGTCCCTTTGAATGCTGGGAACGTGCTGGGAGCAGAGGATAACAAGCCAATTCCGAAATGGGAGGCAATCATTCGAAGGACCCTCAACAAGTCTTTTGAACCTGAAAACAAACATAAAAGCTACAGTGCCCCACCCTCTCCAGTATTGAGGACTTCATCTGTTGCGGATGTACTTGCAGATGAGGTTAATGATGAACAGTTAAAGATGATAGGTGATGAATTTTCTGGGAATGTTGGTTTTGATTTGGATCAGCATCCCCTGAACAAAGTAAACGGCTTGAACGCCAATTTACGGTTAAGGAGAATTTATGGCATTGACTGTGACCACAGATTAGACTGGCCTGAACATTCATTAGATGCAACCCCTCAAGTTATCTCTTCGAATTCAAAACTCCGGAGAGTACTGAGCAGTTCTGCAAGAATTGGCTTCCAGAACTCGGAGAATCCTCTAATATTCCCTCTGCAGAGTTTTTCGAGAAACGGTAATGGGTTGAAAAGGGCATTCCTTAGTTCTGGGAATCTAGTGTCAGCCTGGAGGGAGCAGCAACAGACTTCAGAAGTTTTGGACTCCCTTTCTGATGTATCTGACACTTTTGTTGAAGAGGAGGATGATACTTTCCCAGAAGAACTTATAGAGCAACAAGTTGATGGGGATCCAGAACACTGCATGAGATCTTATCCAAAATACGTGAGAGTTGTCAGCAAGCAGATGGTAGGGATATATGTGTCGGTTTGGGTGCGTAAGAGATTGAGGAGACACATTAACAATTTGAAAGTTTCTCCCGTTGGAGTTGGTCTTATGGGCTACATGGGAAACAAGGTAAATTTACTAGTCTGCTACTTTCTGTAATGTTGAACAACTCTTTGAAACTGTCATATTATAGGCTTCACATTAGTCTAAATTGAATTCATATAGTTATCCCATCAAAAAATGATAAGTGCTCCTTATTTACATTATACTCAGTAGGAATACTTGACCTCTACATCATTACTTGTTTTTTAGGGAGATGAAGTTTGCTCCTTCATTTACAGTGTAATTTACAAATTTCAATGCAGGGGTCGGTTTCTGTGAGCATGTCTCTTTATCAGTCACGGTTATGCTTTGTTTGTTCTCATTTGACCTCTGGCCAGAAGGATGGAGCTGAACATAAGCGTAATGCTGATGTGAATGAAATCATAAGGCGAACATGTTTTTCATCTGTGTTCGATTCAGAACAGCCACAGACAATACCGTCTCATGAGTAAGCAGTCTTTAGCCATTAGATCGATTTGATAGTCAAAAGCATCCCTTTTTAGCCTTGACTTGCATATTATATTTGATGAATGGGGGAGTTCTTGAGCGATCTGTTTACACAATTCTTCACCACTTTCTCTTCACTATCCAAACATTTTGAAATTTATGAAAGAGACTATATATTTGACTTGGG